TTGCTTTAGGATGTGTGCGCTCGCCAGACAGACGGAGAGAGACAGAGAGACAGAAAGCAAGAACTCACCTCCCAGAGGGGATGGCCACGCCACAATCCCTTCTCCTCCATTCTCCTCTCGGGATCTTTGGCACACACGCACACGCGCCCGGCGGTACCACACCACTTCTGAACAATTGTTGAAACTTTCCCTGGCCCAGAATGGCTGCTCATAGAACAGTTTTACAGAAAACAGCAACAACAAAAGCCAGTTCTCTGTGGACTTACTCAGCTCAGGATTAATGAGCAGCGTTCGTGGGAGAGGCTTATACGTCTCACTCAGGAAGCGATAATCTCATTTGACTTGCGGCTGTTCATTGACTGAGTGCAGAGTGCATTACTTCTCAATGAACAAAAGGGGACCAGCACGTCCCACCCTCCCACACACACCCCACGCACCCCACCCAGCTTCTCTCCAGACATGAACAAGCCCGGGAGGAGGGCGGACTTCTTATGTTGGTGTGTGTGCGTGTGTGCGTGTGTGTGTACATGCAGGGTATTCTTCCCACTCCCTTTTTTTTTCTATTTATTTATTTATTAGAGGTTTTTGCCTTAGGGCACTTGCACTTATGGGGGAGGAGAGACAGACAGAGATAATAAGAGGGAAAGTGAGAAATCACCCCCCAGGGGGGATGGTCACACCGCAATCCCTTCTCCTCCATTCTCCTCTCGGGATCTTGGGCACGCACGCACACGCGCCCGGCGTGAGTTTAAGCCACCGGAGCTGAGACTCGAGCTGCGATTGGCCTTATGGGAGTCCACTGACCTAACTGCTGTGCCATCTGCTGGCCCCTTATTTATTTATTTTGAATTTACTAGAGGGGGCTTGCACTCGCAGACAGACACAAACGGGGTCGGGGGGAATCACCTCCCAAAGAGGATGGCCATGGCACAATCCCATCTCCTCCATTCTCGTCTCAGGATTTTGGGTGCACTCACACACACACCCCCAGCGTGTTTTTCAAGCTGACAGGTCTGGGACTTGAACCGTGGAGTTGGCTCAATGGGATCTAGCCAGCTTAACCTCCACACCATCTGCTGGCTCCCATTTCTTCTTCTTCTTTTTTTTTTTTTGTTTTAAGTTTATTCAGGGGCTGGTAGGTGGCGTCGTGATCAGGGTGTCAGACTCCCACGTGGCCAACTGCTGTTCGAGTCCCAGTCTTGGAAGTTTGAAACTCATACCAGGCATGTGTGCATGCATGCCTAAAAAATCCTGAGAGGAAGGAGCAGCAGTTGGTGTAATGGCTATGTCGCTGGACTCCCAAGTGGTCAACCGCGGTTCGCGTCCCAGACCTGGTGGCTTAAACTCACGCCGGGCGCGTGTGCATGCGTGCCCAAGATCCTGAGAGGAAGTCCCAGTCCTGGAAGTTTGAAACTCATACCAGGCATGTGTGCATGCATGCCTAAAAAATCCTGAGAGGAAGGAGCAGCAGTTGGTGTAATGGCTATGTCGCTGGACTCCCAAGTGGTCAACCGCGGTTCGCGTCCCAGACCTGGTGGCTTAAACTCACGCCGGGCGCGTGTGCATGCGTGCCCAAGATCCTGAGAGGAGAGTGGAGGAGTAGGGATTACGGCGTGGTCATCTCCCCTGGGGGGTGATTTCTCACTTTCTGTCTCTCTGTCTCTCTCTGTCTGTCTGGCGAGCGCACGCGCCCTATAGCAAAACAAAAGAAAACAAAAACAAAAACTCTTCAAAATAAATAAATACTCAACGAGGACCCTGGGCAGAAACTGGGGACCCTGCCCTGTGCGTCAGCCTCACGGAGACCCATGATTTACGTCTGTTCCACATCTGGCACTCAGCTTCTCTGTTCAACCCTCTCCCCTTCCTATCCACATAACCCGTGTGGACCGTCCAAGGGTGGATATCGTGCCGTCGAGAGCTCGGACGGAATCCAGCTCGCTCACGCTCTCTCTCTGTCCCCCGCTCCCGTCTCTCTCCAGAGAGCGCATGCCCCGTTAGCAAGCTAACTACGAGGAGACTACGGGGAGGCAACGCGCCATCCATGTGGCCTGGCCAGATTCTTTTTATACCAGACAATTTATAGAACACAGGTCTTTCCTTTTTCATTGGACAAATGGTGACTGTTTCTCTCCTCCCGGGCCTTTGCAGAGAACCGTTTGCAATTAAAGCTAATGTTGGAGCAGCAGTTTATACTGAAAATATTTACCGTTGTGTTGTTGGCAGCTCGTCGGCGTGGGGGAAAATAGATGCTTTATTAAAGGCTAAATTCGGTGAGACCAGCAGTTGGAGTAATGGCTATGTCGCTGGATTCCCATGTAGTTGACTGCGGTTTGAGTCCCGGACCCGGTGGTTTAAACTCACGCCGGGCGCATGTGCGTGCGTGCCCAAGATCCCCAGAGAATGGAGGAGAAGGGATTGCGGCGTGACCATTCCCCCCTGGGGGTGATTTCTCGCTTTCTGTCTCTGTCTCTGTCTTTCTGGCGAGTGCACGTGCCCTATAGCAAAAAATAACCTGTCCAGAAAAAAAAAAAAAGACTAAATTCATGGCAGTTGCTTCCCCGCTGTTAGTCAGTCTTCCAGCGTGAAAAGCGTCATGAGAGGCGTTGGGAAATCCTTCTAGTCATATGGTTTTCTTTCTTTTTTAAAAAACAGCATTATTTATTTAATTATGGGAACCAGTAGGTGGCAGGGTGGTTATGTCGCTGGACCCCCATGTCATTGACCATGGTTCAAGTCCTGGTCCCAGTGGCTTAAACTCACGCTGGGCGTGTGTGCGTGCGTGCCCAAGATCCCGACAGGAGAATGGAGGAGAAGGGATTGCGGCATGGCCATCCCCCCTGGGGGTTGATTTCTCGCTTTCTGTCTCACTGTCTCTGTCTCTCTCTCCAACAAGTACATGCACCCTAAGAGAAAAACCTCTAAAAACAAAATTAAAAGAAAACAAAAGAGAAAGCTATCTCAGCACTTATAACTTGTAGGGAGAAGTCTTAGAATGATAGTTCAACTTCACCCTCCAGAGCAGCTGGGTTGGTTTGGGCTGTCTGTGGCAGACGGGGTCTCCTGCTCTGCAGTTTATTGCTGCGTCTAAAAAGCATAAGGAACGCTGCTTGATTGATTGAACAGAGAGAGAGCTAGAAAGGGAAACTGAGTGAGCACCAACCCCTGCCTGGGGGGTAAGGGAGTGACCAGGCTGCAGTTCCTTCTTCTCCGTTCTCCTCTCGGGATCTTGGGCACGTACGCACACGCGCCTGGCGTGAGTTTAAGCCTCCGGGTCCAGGACACCAACCACGTCGACTACGTGGGAGTCCAGCGACATAGCCATTACGCTAACTGCTGGTGCCCACCCAGCGTGGTTTTCAAGCCGCCAGGTCCAGGACTAGAACTGCACAGTCAGCCATGTGGGATCCAGCCACCTTAACCTTCATGCCACCAGCTGGCCCCAAGATTTCTGCTCTGGAGTCTCCATTCCATGTTGGTGTCAATTCTAGGCTAAAGAGTGAAGAGCCCAGTTGAGTTTAGGGAAGAGGAGGGACTCCTGTTCGGTGAGGCTGGTCTGGATTGGGGACGTGTGTTGGGAGGGGGCAAGTTGCAGTTGCCAGAAACAACCGTGTCTTGGAAGAGTTTTTAATAGCCCAGCGAAATGCTCTTTATAAAGTTCAGAAAGGGGGCGAAGGGGATTTGGAGAGAAAGGGTAAGCTGCAGGCCAAGAAAAATACTAGAAGAAAATATGCCAAATATTACCACTGGTTATTTCTCTATCTCCCAAACTTGAGGCAAAACAGTATCCTTATCATTAGAAAAACGTCATCTTGGGACCAGCAGTTAGTGTAGTGGCTATGTCGCTGGACTCCCACGTAGCCAACTGCAGTTCGTGTCCCGGACCCAGTGGCTTAAACTCACGCCGGGCGCATGTGCGTGTGTGCCCAAGATCCCGAGTCCAGAGACATAGCCATTATGCCAACTGCTGGTCCCCAGAGTGAATTTCAAACTACCGGATCCGAGTCTCCAACCATGGTTAACCATGTACGAATCTAATGCCATAACCGTCATTCCACCTGCCAGCCCCAAAGTTTTTCTTTTAATGTGTGCCATGAGTGAGAGGCACAAAGGCGACACTTCTAGCACCTCCTGACACCACGATCCACACCCCACTTCAGCTGGCCCAGACCTAGGGACACATGTGACCTGTGTACTCAGGGAGGCGTCCTGGCATGGTGTTGTTTTTATTCATTCTCTCTTTCTTCCTTTCTCTCTTTTTCTTTCTTTCTTTCAAGAATTAATTTATTCAAGTTTATCCATTATTATTATTATTATTATTTCTTAATTTGACCAGAGAAAGATGGAGAGAGGGAAAATGAGAGACCAGGCCACCAGGTCTGGGACTCAAACCATAGTCGGCCGTGAGGGAGTCTAGCGCCCTTAACCACCACGCCATCTGCCAGCCTCGTCATTTTTTTTTCCACAAAGAATTATTTATAGGACCAGCAGTTGGCATAATGGCTATGTCTCTGGACTCCCACATAGTCGACCGCGGTTCAAGTCCCAGACCCGGTGGCTTAAACTCACACTGGGCGCATGTCCTTCTGTGCCCAAGATCCTGAGAGGAGAATGGAGGAGCAAAACCCTCTCCCCCCAAGAAAAAATTATTTATTTTTATTTATTATTATTATTATTATTTTTAAATCTGCCATAAGGCACCTGCATCCACCAGAGACAGACAGAGAGAGAGAAAGTGAGAAAGCCCTGTCCAGGACTTGAACCGTGGTCAGCCGTGTGGGAGTCCGGCACCTCAACCACCACACCACCTGCTGGCCCTGGCTGGCATCATGTTCATCCTTCCAATCAGCCACTGCTAAGAGGGATGCAGGCTTTCCAGAGTGGCACGGCAAAGCTTCTCCTGGGGAACACGTGGCAGCGTGATCGTGGGGGCTCCCTGGCTGCACCCCTGGCGCCCCCGGACCCCGGGCTCTGACGCCAGCCGCCTCTTGTGCTTCCAGGCATCCGCATGCTGGACGGCGACGTGACGGACGTGGTGGAGGCGAAGTCGCTGGGCATCAGACCCAACTACATCGACATCTACAGCGCCAGCTGGGGGCCGGACGATGACGGGAAGACCGTGGACGGGCCCGGCCGGCTGGCCAAGCAGGCTTTCGAATATGGCATCAAAAAGGTGTGAGTGGCCCAGGGCTATCGGGAGCTCCCTGGGGCCAGGGGGACAGCATTCTATTTTTTTCTTTTGAATTTATCGTAGGGCACTTGAACTCACCAGAGAGAGCAGAGAGAGAGAGAGAGAAGAGAGAGAGAAAGTGAAAAAGCAGCCCCTGTGTGGGAAGGCCCTCTTGTAATCCCTTCTCCATTTTTCTCTCCGGATTTCGGGTGTGCACGCACACGTGTCCGGCATGTTTTTCAAGCCACCGGATCTGGGACTTGAACCATGTCGTCAGCCATGTGAGATCCAGTGGCCTTGATCACCATGCCATCTGGCTGACCCAAGCATTTTTGGGTTTTAGTTTTTGCGAGAAGGTGTGCGCACTCACTACAGAGAGAGGGAGACTCCTCAGGGGCATGGCCGCGTCGCAATCCCTTCTCCTCCATTCTCCTCTCGGGATCTTGGGCACGCACGCACACGCGCCCAGCGTGAGTTTAAACCACCAGGTCCGGGACTCGAACCATAGTCTACTACATGGGAGTCCAGCGACATAGCCATTATGCCAGTTGCTGGTCCCACACCTGGGATGGTTTTTTTTTTTTTTTGAGAGGTTTTTGCTATAGAGCGCATGTGCTTGCTGGAAAGACAGAAAATCAGAGAGACAGAAAGTGAGAAATCACCCCCCAGGGGGATGGCCACGCCGCAATCCCTTCTCCTCCATTCTCTGGGGATCTTGGGCACGCACGCACACGCGCCCAGCGTGAGTTTAAACCACCAGGTCCGGGACTCGAACCATAGTCTACTACATGGGAGTCCAGCGACATAGCCCTTACACTAACTGCTGGTCCTACACCTGGCATGATTTTTAAGCCTTCTGGTCTGGGACTTGATCCACGCAGCTGGCCACGTGGAATCTGGCCTCCTTAACTACCATGCCCCCTGGTTGGCCCAAGCGTTTTAAATAATTTGCTATCTGAGCAACACCACAGGCCATAGCCCTGGGCCAGCACTGACCCTGCCATGCCTGGGCTGGAGTGCAGACAAAGTCACATAGGGCATGGGGAAGCAGCTGTCACCGCGCCGAGGAGATGGCTTCACCTCGACGGAGAACCAGCCACGCCCTCTGCCTGGGTGTCTGCCTGTCCCCAGCTGAGGAGTGTGGGCGGGAAGGGACGCGGTCATGTCACCTGGACTTTCTCGGGCTGTGCAGGTGGGAAGGGTGTCCTGGCCGTCCACCCACCTGCCTACCAGGAATCCTTCATGCACATGGGTGCGTGGTATCCCAGAGCCCACCACAGCAGGAAGCCGTGGACTGGACACCCCAGCCAGCACACACGGTCTGTCACGTGGAACTATACCACAGATTGAAGAGCAGTGATCTGAGAGGCTGCTTCTCTGATGCCCGAATGAGGGGAGGCCAGGGGGCTGTGCATTCTCCTCCCTGGAGATGAGCCCTCTAGCTTCTCTGTGAGCATCGGTTCTGGTCCTTGTGGGTCAAGAAGGCTGGGGATGGAAAGGAGGTGGGCAGAAGTAAGCCAGTTCTTTTTTTGTTTTTTTTAATTATTTTATTTAACTTTATTTATTTTAATCTGACCAGAGAGGGACAGAGTGAGAGAGAAAAAAAAGTAAGAAAGCAAGCTACCAGGTCCAGGGCTCAAACCACAGTCAGCCATGTGGGAGTCCAGTGCCTCAACCACCATGTCACCTGCTGGTCCCGATAACTCCTTTAAAAAAAAAAAAAAAGTAAGAAAGCAAGCTACCAGGTCCAGGGCTCAAACCACAGTCAGCCATGTGGGAGTCCAGTGCCTCAACCACCATGTCACCTGCTGGTCCCGATAACTCCTTTAAAAAAAAAAAAAAAGTAAGAAAGCAAGCTACCAGGTCCAGGGCTCAAACCACAGTCAGCCATGTGGGAGTCCAGTGCCTCAACCACCATGTCACCTGCTGGTCCCGATAACTCCTTTAAAAAAAAAAAAAAAGTAAGAAAGCAAGCTACCAGGTCCAGGGCTCAAACCACAGTCAGCCATGTGGGAGTCCAGTGCCTCAACCACCATGTCACCTGCTGGTCCCGATAACTCCTTTAAAAAAAAAAAAAAAGTAAGAAAGCAAGCTACCAGGTCCAGGGCTCAAACCACAGTCAGCCATGTGGGAGTCCAGTGCCTCAACCACCATGTCACCTGCTGGTCCCGATAACTCCTTTAAAAAAAAAAAAAAAGTAAGAAAGCAAGCTACCAGGTCCAGGGCTCAAACCACAGTCAGCCATGTGGGAGTCCAGTGCCTCAACCACCATGTCACCTGCTGGTCCCGATAACTCCTTTAAAAAAAAAAAAAAAGTAAGAAAGCAAGCTACCAGGTCCAGGGCTCAAACCACAGTCAGCCATGTGGGAGTCCAGTGCCTCAACCACCATGTCACCTGCTGGTCCCGATAACTCCTTTAAAAAAAAAAAAAAAGTAAGAAAGCAAGCTACCAGGTCCAGGGCTCAAACCACAGTCAGCCATGTGGGAGTCCAGTGCCTCAACCACCATGTCACCTGCTGGTCCCGATAACTCCTTTAAAAAAAAAAAAAAAGTAAGAAAGCAAGCTACCAGGTCCAGGGCTCAAACCACAGTCAGCCATGTGGGAGTCCAGTGCCTCAACCACCATGTCACCTGCTGGTCCCGATAACTCCTTTAAAAAAAAAAAAAAAGTAAGAAAGCAAGCTACCAGGTCCAGGGCTCAAACCACAGTCAGCCATGTGGGAGTCCAGTGCCTCAACCACCATGTCACCTGCTGGTCCCGATAACTCCTTTAAAAAAAAAAAAAAAGTAAGAAAGCAAGCTACCAGGTCCAGGGCTCAAACCACAGTCAGCCATGTGGGAGTCCAGTGCCTCAACCACCATGTCACCTGCTGGTCCCGATAACTCCTTTAAAAAAAAAAAAAAAGTAAGAAAGCAAGCTACCAGGTCCAGGGCTCAAACCACAGTCAGCCATGTGGGAGTCCAGTGCCTCAACCACCATGTCACCTGCTGGTCCCGATAACTCCTTTAAAAAAAAAAAAAAAGTAAGAAAGCAAGCTACCAGGTCCAGGGCTCAAACCACAGTCAGCCATGTGGGAGTCCAGTGCCTCAACCACCATGTCACCTGCTGGTCCCGATAACTCCTTTAAAAAAAAAAAAAAAGTAAGAAAGCAAGCTACCAGGTCCAGGGCTCAAACCACAGTCAGCCATGTGGGAGTCCAGTGCCTCAACCACCATGTCACCTGCTGGTCCCGATAACTCCTTTAAAAAAAAAAAAAAAGTAAGAAAGCAAGCTACCAGGTCCAGGGCTCAAACCACAGTCAGCCATGTGGGAGTCCAGTGCCTCAACCACCATGTCACCTGCTGGTCCCGATAACTCCTTTAAAAAAAAAAAAAAAGTAAGAAAGCAAGCTACCAGGTCCAGGGCTCAAACCACAGTCAGCCATGTGGGAGTCCAGTGCCTCAACCACCATGTCACCTGCTGGTCCCGATAACTCCTTTAAAAAAAAAAAAAAAGTAAGAAAGCAAGCTACCAGGTCCAGGGCTCAAACCACAGTCAGCCATGTGGGAGTCCAGTGCCTCAACCACCATGTCACCTGCTGGTCCCGATAACTCCTTTAAAAAAAAAAAAAAAGTAAGAAAGCAAGCTACCAGGTCCAGGGCTCAAACCACAGTCAGCCATGTGGGAGTCCAGTGCCTCAACCACCATGTCACCTGCTGGTCCCGATAACTCCTTTAAAAAAAAAAAAAAAGTAAGAAAGCAAGCTACCAGGTCCAGGGCTCAAACCACAGTCAGCCATGTGGGAGTCCAGTGCCTCAACCACCATGTCACCTGCTGGTCCCGATAACTCCTTTAAAAAAAAAAAAAAAGTAAGAAAGCAAGCTACCAGGTCCAGGGCTCAAACCACAGTCAGCCATGTGGGAGTCCAGTGCCTCAACCACCATGTCACCTGCTGGTCCCGATAACTCCTTTAAAAAAAAAAAAAAAGTAAGAAAGCAAGCTACCAGGTCCAGGGCTCAAACCACAGTCAGCCATGTGGGAGTCCAGTGCCTCAACCACCATGTCACCTGCTGGTCCCGATAACTCCTTTAAAAAAAAAAAAAAAGTAAGAAAGCAAGCTACCAGGTCCAGGGCTCAAACCACAGTCAGCCATGTGGGAGTCCAGTGCCTCAACCACCATGTCACCTGCTGGTCCCGATAACTCCTTTAAAAAAAAAAAAAAAGTAAGAAAGCAAGCTACCAGGTCCAGGGCTCAAACCACAGTCAGCCATGTGGGAGTCCAGTGCCTCAACCACCATGTCACCTGCTGGTCCCGATAACTCCTTTAAAAAAAAAAAAAAAGTAAGAAAGCAAGCTACCAGGTCCAGGGCTCAAACCACAGTCAGCCATGTGGGAGTCCAGTGCCTCAACCACCATGTCACCTGCTGGTCCCGATAACTCCTTTAAAAAAAAAAAAAAAGTAAGAAAGCAAGCTACCAGGTCCAGGGCTCAAACCACAGTCAGCCATGTGGGAGTCCAGTGCCTCAACCACCATGTCACCTGCTGGTCCCGATAACTCCTTTAAAAAAAAAAAAAAAGTAAGAAAGCAAGCTACCAGGTCCAGGGCTCAAACCACAGTCAGCCATGTGGGAGTCCAGTGCCCTTAACCGCCACTTCACCCACAGGCCCCCCAGTTCTTTTTTTTAAGGGAGAGATTTTTGCTACAGGGCATGTGCACTTGCCAGAGAGACCAGGAGTCATAGAGAGGGGATGGCCACACCACAATCCTTTCTCTTTCATTCTCCTCTCAGCATTTGGGGCACACACGCACACGCAACTGTTGTGAGTTTCAAGCCACCAGGTCCAGGACTCGAACCACACTTGACTATGTGGTAGTCTGGTGACGTAACCATTCCACCATCTGCTGGTCCTAGTAAGCTCATTTTTTTTTTTAAGAGGTTTTTGCTATCGGGTGCGTGAGCTCGCCAGACAGACAGAGAGGGACCGAGAGACAGAAAGTGAGAAATCACCCCCCAGGGGGGATGGCCACGCCGCAATCCCTTCTCCTCCATTCTCCTCTCGGGATCTTGGGCACGTATGCACACGCACCGGCATGAGTTTTCAGCCACCAGGTCCAGGACGCGAACCGTGGTCGACTACATGGGAGTCCAGCAACATAGCCGTTACGCTAACTGCTGGTCCCCCAGTAAGCCTGTTCTTACCAGCAGGGTGGCAGGGCAGATTTCTGGGTGGGGACTGCTTCCTGGAGCAGGTGGGCGGAGCTGTGGCCAGCATCGAGGTGGCCTGGGGGGGGGAGGCCCAGCAGAGACCTTAATGAATGCAAGTGTCCCCACGGGCACCAGCGGAGCCCCAGGAGTCTAGCTTCTTGCCTGACACCTCCTGGGATGTGGGCACACCATGCCAGCCTCCTGCCAGGTGCTTCCCCGGATGCAGAGTTATTCCATGGGATCGATAAGGCGAAGCTTCCTCCCCCACTGGCCTCTCCCCTGGCTGCTCCGGACGTGAGGGCCGAGTGGCCAAGACAGAGGTGACCGTCCTTATGTCCCTCAGAGTTTATGCTCGCTCAGACACTCGATATGAGGGGGAGGCCAGTGTGGTCACACACAGCATGTCCACGCATGTGACCGACCTTGTGCACAGCTGGGAGACACTGGGCTCCTTTATCCCCATGACCCCAGCAAACACGAAGGCCTTTAGTCCGGTGGTGGAGCACCCGAGTGGCCCAGTGCTGGGCCAGGTGAGAGCTGGCAGATCCACGTGTGACCCAGTTAGCCACTGCCCTCCAGGGCCACCCTGTGAATACATCCTGCCTTTCCAGGACCAGCAAATGGCATAATGATTACGTCACTTGATTCACATGTAGTTGACTGTGGTTCGAGTCCTGGACGTGGCAGCTTAAAAATCACGCCAGGCGCATGTGCGTGCGTGCCCAAGATCCCGAGAGGAGAATGGAGGAGAAGGGATTGCGGCGTGACCATCCCCCCTAGGGGGTGATTTCTCACTTTCTGTCTCTCTGTCTCTCTCTGTCTCTTTGGTGAGCACACATGTCCCATAGCAAAAATGTATCAAAAATAAAATCCTGTCCTTCCATTACTCATCCTCCTGCCTGGCTCGCTTAGACCTCAGTCTTCATAACAAGTGAGTCGTTCCCAACACTCCTGAGGTTGAGCTTCAGAGCCGGTGGCTAAGGTGGAGGTCAGCCCTTCCGCATGGAGCATGTTGCATTGAATGGTGTTCATGTCAAACTTCTGCCATTTCCATGAGAGCATTGCTAAAGAGGCGGGATTGTGGGGGCCAGAAGGTGGCGTGGTGGTTAAGGCACTGGACTCTTACATGGCTGACCACAGTTCGAATCCCAGACCTGGCAGCTTGCTTTCTCACTTCGTTTCTCTGTCTCTCTGTGGTGAATTAAATAATAACAATAATGATAACAAATAAAATTAAATATGATAACTCCTTTTTAAAAATTATTTATTTGACTTTACTTATTCATTTTTAATTTGACTAGAGAGATAGAGAGAGAGAGAGAGAGAGAGAAGGTGAGAGAGCAAGCCACCAGGTCCAGGACTTGAACCGTCGTCAGCTATGTGGGAGCAGCCAGCGCCTTAGCCACCACGTCACCTGCTGGTCCCGATAACTCCTTTAAAAAAAAAAAAAAAAAAAAAAAAAAGGCGGAGGGGGGGGTGACATGGTGGTTGAGGCACTGGACTCCCACATGGCCAACCATAGTTCGAGTCCCGTATCTGGCAACTTGATTTCTCTCTCTCTCTCAGTGCTTCTCTCTGGTAAATTAAAAAATAATAATAAATAAAATTAAATCAATCATTTAAAAAAAATGAAATCAAAAGATGTGAGATCATGGGAGCCAGCATTTGGCGTGGTAGTAGAGGGGCTGGACTCCCACATGGCTGACTGTGGTTCAAGTCCCGGACATGGCAGCTTGAAAATGAAACTGAGCACATGTGCGTGCGTGCCCAAAATCCCAGGAGGAGAATGGAGGAGAGGGGATTGCGGGCATGACCATCCCCCCTGGGGAAGACTTCCCACTCTCTCACTGTCTCTCTGTCTCTCCCCAGCGAGTGCACATGCCCTATGCCAAAAACCTTAAAAAAAAAAAAGAAGACGAAGAAGAAGACAATGATGAGGCGCCATCTTGGGAGGAGGCTCCCTAGACCCAGGAGAGGGAGTAGTTGGTTTTTTTTTTTTTTTTTGGAGAGATTTTTGCTATAGGGCGCGTGCGCTCGCCAGAAAGACAGAGAGAGACATAGAGACAGAAAGCGAGAAATCACCCCCCAGGGAGGATGGCCACGCTGCAATCCCTTCTCCTCCATTCTCCTCTCAGGATCTTAGGCACGCACGCACACACACCCGGCGTGAGTTTAAGCCACTGGGTCTGGGACTTGAACTGTGGTTGACTACGTGGGAGTCCAGCGACGTAGCCATTATGCTAACTGCTGGTCCCAGGCAATCTTTGCCATCTGAACCCCACGCGGTGTCAGCTTCACCACGCTGCCAGGGAAGTGAGGGCATTGCCGAGGGGCTGTGGGGGTGCCTCTCTTCTTGTCATGGTTCCCTGAAATACTGAGGGTCATTTCATTTTTATAAAGTCGCTCTCAAGGAAAATATGCTGTCTAGGGAGTCTTAAATCACAGCTGTCTGACACTGTCACCGCAAACCCTCTTAGAAATGTGAAGATCCCAGACCCAATCACAGGCCCCCCTCTGTTTTCCCTCCATGCCACCCCATCTATCACCTGCGGTCTTTCTCTGGGAAATCCAACTTCATGTTTGAAGATGATGCGGACTGGTGATAGGAGACTTGGAAGCCATCGTTTGGCACAGAGATTAATTAATGTCGGTCCTCGGGAAGCCTCGTTCCTCACGTGGGCTGTCGTTCAGAAGGGGAGATGAAAGATCAGTCAGGCTGGGAACCCCGACGGCCGGTGTGCGTGAGCGCTCAGCTATGCTCCTAAGCTCAAGGGTGAACTCGCTGTGCCCCAGGGAAATAGGATTTTAAAAACTTAAAATTTCAGGACCAGCAGTTGGCGTAATGGCTATGTCGCTGGACTCCCATGTAGTCGACTGCGGTTCGAGTCCCAGACCCGGTGGCTTAAACTCATCCCGGGCGCATGTGCGTGCATGCCCAAGATCCGGAGAGGAGAATGGAGGAGAAGGGATTGCAGCATGGCCATCCCCCCTGCAGGGTGATTTCTCGCTTTCTGTCTGTCTCTGTCTTTCTGGCGCCCAGCCACACCCTATAGCAAAAACCTCTCCAAAATATAAAAATAAAATAAAATAAAAATTTCTAGGACCAGCAGTTGGCGTCATTGTTACATCCCTGGACCCTCATGTAGTCACCCACAGTTCAAGTCTCAGACCTGGTGGCTTAAAACTCATGCAGGGCGCATGTGCATGTGTGTCCAAAATCCCAAGAGGAGAATGAAGGAGAAGGGATTGTGGTGTGGCCATCTCCCCTGGGTACGATTTTTCCCTTTCTGTCTCTCTCTGTCTCTGTCTCTCTGGCAAGCGCACTCGCCCTATAGCAAACATCTCTCTTAGGGACCAGCAGTTAGCATAATGGCTATGTCGCTGGACTCCCATGTAGTCGAACACAGTTCGAGTCGCGGACCCGGTGGCTTAAACTCATGCCGGGCGCGTGTGCGTGCATGTCCAAGATCCCGAGAGGAGAATGGAGGAGAAGGGATTGCAGTATGGCCATCCCCCTGGGGGGTGATCTCTCGCTTTCTGTCTCTCTGTGTCTCTCTGTCTTTCTGGTGAGCGCACGCGCCCTATAGCAAAGACCTCTCTTAATAAAAAGGAGCGGGAGGCAAGACTAGACTGCGGGCGGGGGCTGAGATCTGGCCTGGAGGCTCCGGCTGCAGCGCTGACTTGTGGCTCCTGTCGCTCTCTCTAGGGCCGGCAGGGCCTGGGCTCCATCTACGTGTGGGCGTCTGGGAACGGCGGGAGAGAGGGGGACTACTGCTCCTACAGCAGCGGGGCCTTCTACGAGCGCAAAATTGTAAGTCCTCTCGGCCAGCCATGCCCGCCACAGCCTCTGGGGCTGAGTTCCTTGTCCCCTGAACATAGACTGGGTCGTTGGAAAAGTCATGATGCATTTTTGCATGAAAAACCATGGAAAGGGACCAGCAGTTAGCGTAATGGCTATGTCGCTGGACTCCCATGTAGTCAATTGTGGTTCAAGTCCCGGACCCGGTGGCTTAAACTCAC